ATATAATAACTCACCAAAGTAATTTCGAACAAAATATTTAAAAATACTTTGTCGATTGTGCTATTCTAGTACTAAATGTCTTCGAATACTATCTTATGAAGAAATTCGGATATGTATTCCGATATATATATTCGGCTGTACCAACAAGAGAAATTATTTATATATTCAAGTTCCCCTCTCACACTCATTGAAATAATCGTGACAAAAATAGAGGGACGCAAGTTAGAAGAAACTAAATTTTTTTAACATCTGAAATTCATATTGTGCTAGAACAAACTACTTAAGTGACGTGCAATATAACGCAAGCCATTAATGTTATATTTATGGAATATTAATAAAATTTTTAGCACAAATCTATGACACTAAAATCCATAAAATCGTTACTATTTACTATAATAAAACTGATAAGAAAATACAAAACCAACAATACAAGCCCTGTAATGTTTACCAATAGTGATATATATTGTTATGAGCCGGTCTAGAGAAATTCGAAGTGAACTTGTAATTAGAAGGCCGTTTCTAGGTGCTCAGAAATTATGATTAATAACAATGGTTTGTTATTACAAACAGTTGTCGTTTGTCTTCTAAGGGAACTCGATCTGAGAGAACATGACTCGCGGACGTTCCGCAATATTTGTGTATTTTCTAAAAAGAGCTTGTAAAGCTGCTAATTGTACATAAGTTATTCTTTATTTTTCAAACATGTTGTTCCACAATATATATAAGAAGAGCTGAATGAATTGAGAAGCCACATAAAGTTTCCTGCCGAGAAACCTCCAGTATTAAACACACTAGTGTAAGGATCAATCAAAATCAGTTTCATAAGAAATGTAAATTTCAAATTTACTAGACGAAATTACTCTGAAATATATCACTACCAACACACGAGATAAAAATTGGAACTAATTACTCATCTTTGGAAATATCTGGACTTTTAGAGCTTTTTATTAAAATCATCTTAATTGATCATTAATACAATTATTTGTAGCTAAATTTTATACAGTGTCTATGGATGATTATTGTATGGAGATACCTTAACGTATTTGTTATTTTATTTAGTGCACAGACAACTAATCAGAAAAACTGGTAATTAAAAAAATAACAATCTGGCAATAAAAAATAAAATGTTGGCAATGCATCAAATACTTTACTAGAAATTATTTCACCAAAGGGACCAGTAGTACCAAATTTATTATACGAAGTAATTGTCATTACACCTGGGGAAACATGGAATATAAATAAATATATACAATCTAAAAAGAACTATAATAAAAAAATATGTAATAATAATAATAATAATAATAATAATAATAATAATAATAATAATATTAATAACAATAATAATAATGATAATAATAATAATAATAATAATAATTTTTTTTTACGTAAGAGGTGAAATGCATTTACGCACTGGGACAACTATTTGTCTCTAGTGTCGGACTCATATCTATACCGACTAAAACACCTACTGCTGCTGGGCAGTAGCCCGGGACCGTTTATCATATTACTTCGGGCTAGGCTCATTTTCTTCGCCCTTTAGGCTCGCTGCTCTCTGTTTCTACTTCTTTATACCTGCTTATCTAGCAGGTTCTGTACAGGTATCTTCTTTTCGTTCGAAGGATATCTGCACCCAGAAGGCTGGCAAGTTCCAGCATTCCTCTTTTCGGAGAATGTTCTTCATTATGCCGTCGGGAGTCACTTTTTCAATTATCATTTCCAAATCTCGCTTGCGTTGCGCCCATCAGTCACAATGGAAGAAGATATGCTCCACATCGTCTTTTGTTCTTGAGCAGTACAGACACTCTTGTGTTCTTCCCCGGCCTATCTTATATAGGTAGCCTCGGAAGTATCCTTGCCCGCTCAGGAACTGGATCAAGTAATAATTGGTCTCACAGTGCCGTCCCTTCGTTCAGTTCTTTACGTCTTTGATCAATTCCGCGGTCCTGCGTCCTGTCGAATCGTGTTCCCAGGACGTCTGCCAACACCTAAAGGTCTTTTTTCTCTCCTCTTTGCTTGTTACCGCATTTCTAACCTGTTTTTTTTTTTAGATATACCGCTTTACGTTTTTTTGTCAAGAGCGCAATTGGTATGACTCCAGCGATTACTATTATGGCTGTTTCGGACACAATCCTGTACGCAGAGGCTATCCTCTGTACCTACGCCAGGCGTTCCCAGTACGACTCCATGCTAAGTGTGTCCGCCAACACTTCAGCACCGTTGATGAGGACTGACTGTTCCGCTGTCATTAGCAATCGGCGCTTACTGGCTTTCGTCCCGATGACGTTGGCCATAAGCCTACTCAGAGAAGTAACGTCCTTTGCAGCTTTATTCGCAGTTTGCTAGGTCTGCGCTCCGAAGCTCAGCCTGCGGTCGATAATAATACCCACATACTTGATTACAGGCTTGGATTCCACTGCTATGTCTCCAACTTGCAAAAGAAGGGTGATGATTATTCTCTTCTTTGTAAAGATAATTATTTCCGTTTTTTCGAGAGCTAGTAGCAGGCCGTGGTCTGCCATCCAGCCGTATATCGTTCGCATGTCTTGGTTCAGCCTTAGCTGAGCCAGTTCAACATCTCTTGCCGCAATTAGGGCCGCGATGTCGTCCGCATATCCCACAAGGAGCACCTTTTCTGGCATTTAGGTCCTAAACAAACTGCCGTATACTACGTTCCATAGGTCCGGCCCGATTGATGCCTGGGCCGCTCCGGCCATGACTTTCATTCTTCTCTGTTCTTCAGTGGTCTGAAAGAGTAGCCTCCGGTTCCTCAGGTACCCATCAGGCATGCGCATGAGATACTTCGGTACTTGGAAGGTATGTTCCAGCGCATGCGTGATGTCACTGCATCTTGCGGAGTTAAAAGCGTTCTTCACATCAAGCGTCACCAGTAAGACTACTCGATGCAAGTGCCAGTTGTGATCTTCCGCTTTCCGCACTGCTTCCGTGATCTCCTGAATTGCATTGATTACCAATCGCCCTGCTCTGAATCCGTACAGTTTCGGTGACAGGTCGCCGCCGGGCTCAATCACGGGCCTCAATATTCCCTTTATAAACTAATAATAATTTTTTTTTCTTTTTTTTTTTTGATGGTCTGAGAATGCCAATCTTTACGCTCTAACCCAGGGACCCCGCCCGCCAGAGGAACCCTTCACCATTTAGGTCCTCCATTAAAGTCCCTGGAGTGTCGGGCTCACCATTGGAATAGGCACTACCGACTAAACTCATATCCATCCTAGTGGCATAGTGAAACTATCCCGGCACCGCCATGTGGCATTACTTAGGGATGTCGCCACTGCATCAGGTCCCTTTACGGGACTCTCCCTTCGGCTCTACGGGCAGGAGCCTGGAGCAACGTTGGAGGCGCGCCTATGGGCCGCCCATCTCCTTCTTTTTGCTGTGCAAGATGGCCCTGACATACCAGGCCACCTTGTTCCACTCTTCCTACGCGTCGCAGTGTGTTCCGCGTTTTGTGGAAATTTTCCCGGTCTACATTATTTTGCCGGTGAAAAATTAATATCTCACTCGTCAATTAAAGTGCGGTGAACAAATTGTGATAATAATCAATATTGGAGATTGATGATTTATTGTGTAATTAGTGAAAAACGTGCTTACTAATTTCGAGGAGGTTATGTTCGTTTTTACGGAAGTGCATTATATACTCTGTGGACGAATGGTGGACTCAACTGTAATTTTCAGCACTGCGACGGAAGTGCAACTACGTTCACGACGTACGCTGATTGTCCGTTGGAGTTGGACAAGAAATTTGTATTGGTAGGACTGGATGTAATTTATTTATTGACAGTTGGCACACCTGCGGCATTCTTAACCTCAAATCTTAAAAACGCGGGAAACACTTTAGGTATGGCTTTACAGACCTTGTCGTCCGGAGCTTCAGGCACGGCTCTACAGACCTTGTTGCCCGTGGTTAAGGAAAAAATTTTCGAAATTTTTCAAAATTATCAAAATTTTAAAATTTTAGAGTTTCGTTATAGTACGTGACTGCGGTGATGTAGCCATGATGGAACTATCCTATATAAATGCGGGGTGTCTTGCATGATCAAATATATATATATATATATTTTTTTTTCTCCAAATCCCCATCTAATTAAAGTACTCTTACTAAAGTACTTTAATAATTTTATTTTTTTAGAAGAAATTCTCTGTGAAAGGAGTTGGCCGGAAGCAGCGAGACATCTTGTCTCCACGGACGAGGCTTTTTCCCTCTTCGCGAAATTTTGCAAAGAAACCCTCCTCATTAAGAGTAATTAGCTCATGAATCCTGTTCAGCTGAGATTGTCGGAGTTCTGGTGATGGGAGTGGGTGCCTGTAATCTTCTCAGGTTTCACTCTCGAACAGGATAGAGTCGAAGACGTTCGCATGCACATCCATATTTTTATTCTCTACCACCAAACTCTCTCCCCTAAACCTGCTATCCTTCCGATCCTATCCCAACCTACAGAACGAGTGCCAAGAATAGTGGTATTATGAGTGGTCCTTCCCGTGGTTCCCCCTGGGCATCGCTGACATCAGCGTGGTGATCCGTTGCTGCGAGGATGTTGGTCGTGGTTAAACTGCTCACCCTGGCCGCCAGCAGAAGTTTTGGGTTTTTCCGAATCCGGTTTCTTCATTGTGGTGGCTGCTGTCTGTAGGTGGTTCCGTAATGTATGCCCTAATGGACGAGGTAGCATTGGTGCAGGCACCCTTCGGGTGTCCACCTTTACAATATACTCTTCCACTCCTCCTAACCTCGGAGCATTTTCTTGACAACGTTGTCTGGCGAGATGTCTCCGAGGTCCTGCTCCAAGGCGAGGCGTTCGACGCTCCACCGGGCACATTTGATGAGTTTGTGATGGGCGTCGTCGACGGTCGAGTCGCCATGAGGGCAGTTGCCGTCTGCTACCTTCCTTATTTTTGTAAGGTAGGAACAGAACAGACTATGACTTGTCAAGAATTGGGTGAGGTAGAAGTCGATCTCCCCACCTCCCGGGTTACTCAGCTGTCTAGCCGACTGATGAGTCGGGCAGTCCATCTGCCCTTAGGCTCCTGTTCTCATCTGCTTTGCCGGGCCTCGATGCTGCTAGACCTGGCGAGCTTTGATGCCTCCTCCTTTGCCAGAACGGGCTTCTGCTGGTTGACGAATTGTCTCTAGCTAGTAGATCAATCGGGATTACTCCCGTGACCACTAGCACCGCGGACTCAGTGACTGTGCGGTAGGAGCATGCGATTCGGAGAGCGCCCCTCCTCTGTACCGCGGCAATGCACTTGCGATATTTCTCGTGTCGCAGGACCTCGGTCCAGACTTCCGCGTCGTACAGCATCACTGCTTCGGCGGTGCGCATCAGTAGTCGCCTCATGCACGGTCGGGGACCGTTGATGTTGACGATGAGTGTGCCAAGCGAGGCTACTACTTTTGCCACCTTATCGACTGCCCTAATTATATGCTCTCCAAAATTGAGCTTGCTGTCAAGCATTACACCTAAGTATTTAATATTCGTCGCGTCTCCTACAGTGAAGCTGCGCAAGGTGTTGATGCTTCGTAAGTAGCACGATCTCAGTCTTCTCAACTACTAGGGATAGCCCGTCTTCCATCCGGGAAATGATTCTGCGCATGACCCGGTTGAGCAGTACCTGTGCCTCTTCCGTGTCTCTTGCAATTATGACAGCTGCAATGTCATTTGCATACCCCACCATGAAAGCGCCCTCAGGGACTGCCATACGTAGGATATCGTCGTAAAAGATATTCCAGATATCCGGTCCCAATATGGAGCCCTGGGCTGCCCCCGATGTCAACTCCATGCTTCTCGGACCATCGCCTGTATTGTATTTTAGGAAGCGCTCGTTCAGGTAGTCCCCGTGTATTCGGAGTAGATACTTCGGGACACTGAGATATACGCTGACATAAGTCGTCGAGTTATGTCTCACCCAAACGTAACCACGTCCGGATCCTTGGTCCGACACATGTATTAGTCGGGGATCTGGGATCCAGATGGCCGCGGTGCCCAATTCGTCTGCGTACCATCCTACTCCTGCTCTGTCCTGGTACTGTTCGCTGATTAGAACAATATCAGCTTTTTTTTCAGAGCAGAGCTGTGTTAGAAGGTGGTGCACCGTCCTGCTCCTATTCAGGTTACCCTGAAGTACTCTCATCCTTTTTTCTACTTGTTTGCTGTTGCAAGGGCCTCCTGGAAAGCTCTGCAGGGCCTTGATCCCGCCAGGTGCTTCTTAGGTTCATCAACACTATTTGAACACAAGAAACAAGTGGGCTCGCCGACCTTGCATTCTTTGATCTTGTACCCCGTGCCGCCTCAACAATAGCAAAACTTATTGCGATCCGGGCCCTTGCACGAGGCGCTATAGTGACCATAGTCGAGACAGCGGTAGCAACGCCTCACTTCTGTTCTTCGCCTGACTCTGCAGCTGACGAAGCCGACCAGTACTCGTACGGCCTTTAAAAGCTTCGCACCTTCTTCCTCTTCTATTTTCACGAAGGCCTGGCGTTGTTGTCTCGCGTTGGGGTTCGTCACTCTAACCTCGAGTCTCCCCGCGTAGTCTGGTAGGGTCCTCTTTAGGGCTTCTTCGACTTCTACCAACGATGTGCAGCAGTCACAGTCCCGTATCTCCAGCGTAGCTCTAGGGACCAATTCCGTGATGCTGCTCGTTTCTCCTACTTCTTTTCTCAGGGTTTCTGCGAATGAGGCGCTGATATTCGCAGTGGTTTTCTTTAGTTCAAGGAGAACCCCTCCGGTTCTAGTCTGCCAGATCGATCTAATGTCTACCCCTGCGGCGCTGGTGTTGAAGCGCTGGTGGATGGCTCCGACTATGTCTGCGTAAGATTTTTCTTGCGCAGGTTTCAGGAGGATCGCGCCCGGCTTCGTTCTCTTTCTCGGCCTGTCCTCCGATTTGCTTGGCTTCTTTTTCTCCTGCTGTAGGTGTTTCGTCGCCTTCGTCCCTGGTTTTTCCTTATTTTTCCTTTTTTTGACGACCTCCGTCCACTTGGTGGATTCGGTCGTCGTCGCCTCTTGCCTCGTTCTTTTGAGGCTTTCTTCAGGCAACTGCGGCGGGGTTGTGGCTACTCTCTTAACTGCGCCGGCATCAGTTGTAGAATTTGCCCGAGGGCTCTGTGAAACTTGGGTGAGGATTCTCACTCCCTTATTGACCTTTTCTCGAGATTTGTAAATGAACTCGAGACTGTCTATGAAGTCTTCCAGTTCTGGGAGCCCTTGCTTAATCTCCTTGTTTACGTTTGGCTGTCTAGTAATAGCCAACTTCATTTTGGCAAGGAGGAATTTCGCTTGCGCGAGTTTCTCTCTCTCTCTCTATCTTGTGGTGTTCTTTTCGCAGGCTGAGAGCCTACGTTTTTGTCGCATTGAGTAGCGATGTTATTTCCAGGTGGTTCTGGGATATTTTGTTGTTTATTGTCTATTTCGTTTTGTGTGTTTAGTTTATCTTTTGTGCTTTGTTTTTCCATGTGTTCAAAGTTCTTCCTCCAGAGTGCCTGGCCGTCTTCGAGCGCGGTGTCTCCGGAAGTGGGGGGGTGATCACCCTCGCAACTACCCCCATTGTTGCGAGAGCTTTTGGCTATAAGGTCGGGAATGAAGCATATGCCCTTGCCGTTCACCTACTTCTTTCATCGGCTTTCTGACACTCCCATGGGTGCGACGCGTTGACTCCGGCAGTTTTCCACGAGAACCGCGCTTTACGTATCATACCGCACATCCCTTTCGGGCAGCGTCAACGTACCCGCTAGTCCTCGTGGCCCTGCCGTAACCCTGGCTTGGGACCCTTACAGGGTGCTGTCATCCGGGCCAGATGAGCCCTGGTTCTTTTTTTGTTTTTTTTTTTTGAGAGGTTGTACTCGTCAAACAAAATAGCTGGAGAAAATTCGTCTCGGAACAGGGCAACGCGGAACCATTGGTTAATAACTGTGAGGTTATACATATTAGCAACAGGCAAATAAACTTCGGGTGGAACGAGTTAGAAACACTCTTAAACGAGACGGCGAGAAGACTATGAGCGTGCAAGATACGCCAAGGGTTCTCCTTAATATGCACGTACCGGATGACTGCGTATCCGAAGAAACACAGTAACAGCGGGTGATACGAGACATTTCGACGAACGCTCCCGAAACAGCGGATGCTCCTCTCTTCATGAAGGAAGAAGTCGCGCGGGTCATAGAGTCCTTTAAAAACGGTAAAGCCCCGGGGCCGGATCTGATCGAAGTGTGAGTGCTTAAAAGAGCATTCGCTATTATCCCGACTCATTTTTTGGATCTATTCAACGGAAGCCTCCGATGGGGTATCTTCCCTTCTATTTAAATGAGGGCTCTTTAAGAGCACTCTTGAAGGGTGACAATGAAGATGCGGAAGATCCCAAATCCTACCAACCGATATGTCTTCTCTCCGTCATAAGGAAGGTTTTGCAAAGGCTGCTGAAGTTATGCCTTACCGTAACTTCCCTCGCGCCGGGAATAATTTTGGACAAACAGTTTGGCTTCGTAGAGGGACGCTCAACGGAAGATGCAATCGTGGAAATGCGTCGATTTGTTTCTGCCTCTTCACGGAGATATGTTGTCCTGTTATTGATCGATATTTCGGGAGCTTTCGTCAACGTATGGTGGCTTCTAGTCCTCAAGGCACTTAAAGATCGAGACTGTACGAAAAACGTCTTTAAACTAATGACAAACTACTTCGCGGATCGTAAGGTCAAAATCGCTCTGGAAGAGCATGAGGTCTCAAAGCAGGCCTCAAGAGGATGCCCTCAAGGATCGCTTCTTGGTCCTTCCTGTTGAAATCTCATGTTCGATCATCTTCTCAGGATACTAGAGAAATCCTCAGAAGTAAAAGCGATCGCGTACGCGGATGATCTACTCGTTATCGTAGATGGAGATTCGAGAAAGGAACTTGAAGAAAAAGAGAATCGCGCATTAGATAGCATCACCGGTGCTTGTCAGTGAAACTGTCAATCTCCGAGAGCAAGACGGATGCGATCGCCCTTAAAAACGACTAGGTGAAAAGAAAACCCATTAGTAGAAGGGAAGGACAACGACTGGATAGGAAACGGAAGACAGCGAAAAAAACCCGACTTAGCTAGCAGGCATCCTACCATACGATATAGCGGATTCGCAAGCCGTGGCGATGTGGCGGATGGTACCTCTGACAAGTTTTTTGTTCGCGGCCTTCCCTGTTGCTTCGGGTACTTCGGTAACTTCTATTTCTCGGGAAATTGTTGTAATGAATTTTCCGAAATCCATCTTGTGAGCGCTCCATTTGCGTGGATTCACTATGTCTATGTTTCTGCCTCTCCGTGATTCTCCGTGTACACTAAAGGTATTGGTGATCGCTTCCATTATATTAGTGATCGCTTCCTTGATCACCTTCCACTCCATAATCCGCAGTAACAGGACCTCATTTGCAAAGGAGGTGTACGAAATCGTCTCAGTGCACCCGGGGCGGCGGAAGGTTGTGGTGGAGACGACATTCAAGACATAAATCCCTGTTCGCCATTTTCACCACGTAATTGCCCCTTGAGTTTTAGTGCGGCATTCCTCACACGACCGCCTTAACATTGAAGTCGCCGGCCACCAAGATGTTACCTTTTGTGTTCCGGATCACTTCCTCCAACATGTCTATTTTTTCCCGGAATTTATGGATGAGTTCATTTAGTGTAAGGTAGCAACTAAAATAAGTAATCTCCCCACTCATAATATAAACGAAGTCACAACCGCTTTCATGACTTTCCACTGGTATCTTTCTTGGCTCCAGGATCCAGATGGCCGCTGTGCCGTGAGGATCAGAGAACCATAAAAACGATTTCTTTTCCCTATATTGTACACTGATCAATAGCAAATTTGCCCTCTTCTTCTGGGCAAGCTGATACAGTAGCTTGTTGGCAGTCTTGCCCCTGCTCATGTTCGCTTGTAGGATTCGCATCATTGCAGGAGCATTTTAGCCTTATTGAGGACTTCCTTGAAGATGCTACAACTCCCCGATCCAGGAGCGTAGTCACACTTGAGTCATTCTTGTCCTTTATTCATTTTTTCTTCGGAGCCCACATGTATGTCCCTCCTGATCGTTTCTTCCACTTCTTGGGCAGTGGTTAAGCTATCGAGATCTTTAATCTCTAACATCACGCTAGATTCCAGATGGCGGATCGTCGCCTTATCCCGTAGGATGTTTCTAAATGTGTTTCCGAAGGCGGCCTTGTCCTTAGTGTCCCTGTCCAATTCCAGAAAAACATTTTTTGCCCTTGTTTGGTGGAACGATCTCACCTCTGCCTCCAAGTCCTCCGGTTTAGTTCTGCTACGGATTTCTCAGAACATGTCCGCATAGGTTTCTTCTTCCATTCGGCTTGATCGGGAGGGCCTCCAGACGAGGCTTTGAACGCCTTTATATGTTCTTCTTTCTTATGATCTCTTTTGACCTTTCTCACATTCGCCAGGTACCTGGGCGGGTGTCTTCGCTGGTTTCTTCTT